TTTTTAAAAAGATACAAGAAATCAGACTAAATGGCTTTGTCCCATTGGAGAATTTAGTTTTACCACAGTCAGAATGAGCTCAAATTAAGATAAAAACCACTTCATTTAAGACGTTTTCACCTCATTTTTTACCATATTTTGCAGTGTAGTCGGCTAGTCAGAGATTTTGCACTAAATTCTTACTTCTTCATTATTATTATTATTATGCTAAAGTTAGATTTCATTTTTCATTCATTTTAGAGTTATATTTTAGGGTGGCGGCTGATTAGATTACACTTTTGAATCCCGCTCGGAACAGGACCTTTCTGAGTGGAGTTTACATGTTCACCGCATGTCGCCGTAGGTTTCCTCCGGGGGCTCCAGTTTCCTCCGGGTGCCCCGGTTTCCCCTACCACTAAAAACATGTACAATAGGTCTGGCAAGTTCCTCCTGTATAGTCACCTCGCTCCCACATCTGTGTGGAGTGAGAGACAAATGCAAAAAAATCTAAATCAAACAATAAAGCGCTTTGTGACTCTGGTGTGTGAAAGGCGCTATATAAATAAATATTACTGACTTATTGTTGAATATATAGTTTTAGCATGTGGATCTATTAGAATATGTACCATGTGGATCTGTTAAAATATATACCATTACATTATTACTATATATAGTTGATGGTTCTTTTATATCGCTGTGGTCCTCCATGGTTCTTTTATATCGCTGTGGTCCTCCATGGTTCTTTTATATAGCTGTGGTCCTCCATGGTTCTTTTATATAGCTGTGGTCCTCCATGGTTCTTTTATATAGCTGTGGTCCTCCATGGTTCTTTCTTCCAACCTGTGAAGTCAAGGTGAAATCATTGATATCAGTCGCTCATGTGAAGCAAAAACGCGATTCTTGCATCCCGGAAGCAGAAAATCCTCCTATATACCATGAAGTTTTCATTTTTGTTTTCAACGTTGTTGCTTTGCAGGAGTCTGGACTGTTACGTGGTTGAAAGTGCGGAAGCTGATACTGTCTGTGTGACCCGTCCCTGTGCCTCGTACCTGTGGTAACGTGACCACTGTTTGTCTATAAGAACATCTCCAATGTCAGGTTGCACCGTCTGACCTCGGAATCACAGGGACAGGCCTCCTGCTGGGACTCTGAGGAGCACAGGGACTGGCCTCCTGCTGGGACTCTGAGGAGCACAGGGACTGGCCTCGTACTGGGACTCTGAGGAGCACAGGGACTGGCCTCGTGCTGGGACTCTGAGGAGCACAGGGACTTGTTTTTTTTTTTTTTTTACTGATCCAGACCAGAGCAGAGAGGATTGACGGTCCCAACCAAACAGATCAAGTGTAAATCCACTGGAAGAATGCTAATTTGTTTTTCAAAAAGACTATAAGAGCATTCCGAATTTTACTCTGAACCAAAGCAGAGAAAAAGCTCTAGATCTAGTAGCTCTTTGTCATTTCTGTTCCATAAAAGCAGCTCTCCAATCCTGCTCTAGTGCTTTCACCTGATGTGCATTTTGTGTTGCCTTCATGACTTTTGTATAAAACACACACATGTTTTCGTACGTAAAAGAAACTTTATTATAACGACACAAATACATCAGTCCATGAAATACTTACATTGTGCGTCTCAATCACAACGTACCTCTCTGCAAAACAAAATAACAACTAAACATTTCACCTTAAAAAGAAGTGCTGCCATTTTCTCTCCAAAATACAACACCACAGACTGCAAAAAGTCTAAACCTGAAGTTCAAGATAGCAGCAACTCGGAAAAATCTCACTCGCTTCAACGGGAAATATGGAGGGAAAAGGTCCATTGCTTTTTTGTTTACGTCCGTTCAAACTCCAAATATGGAAGTTGGAGAGTTTCTCCAGGAAGAACCGTTGCAAAAGTAGAAAAATATTATTTTTGTGCCTCAATATACGTTAAAATGTCTATAATATTAAGTCAGTCTCTCAAACACCATTGGTCAAAACAGAACTAAGCAACAGGAAATTAACACATGTTTTCAAAGTGTGTGTTTTAAGCTGATTTTTACACTTACTGCCTCTTTCACTTTTTTGATGATTTCACTGATTCTCAAGACCCACAGAAAATTATTTCCCAAGACTATGTGAAATGTGAAACCAGATTCTGAAAGACTGGATTGTCTACTTTGATCAGCAAAAATACGTTTGTTTTTAGCTGTTTTTATTGTCCTGTAATCCGCAGTGGAATAGAGGGTCTCAAACAAATACGTCAATGGCAGTCAATGGGGTAATCTGAGGCCCTGTCCACACGAAGTCAAGCTTAGGCCTAAACGCAAAAATACTTTATCAATCCAGTGTATCGTCCATACGAGGCCGGCGTTTTGGGGGGGTGTAAACGAACATTTTTGAAACTAGGTCCCAGAGTGGAAAGATTTCAAAACTCCGTATATGCCGCTCCGTGGTTACTGCCTCTCCGCAATGTATCTGAGACGCTTGCGTCATCGCCCCGCCTCTTGTTAAAGCACGCATGCGCCGCACTCAGAAAATAATGACAACAACAATGTAGCTTGTTGGTTTTGTAATCCAGTGTGACCCGAAGCAACAGTTCAACCTCATCGTCCGTCCATACTAATGTAGTACCAGCTCGCCCACTCGCCATGTTGTCTGTTTACAAAATTCCGCGCATGCCCACGGAAGTTTGGGCTTGATCCCGTCATTGCGTCACAGCGCCACCAACAGGTCTGGCATAGTTTCACAGCGTTTTCAGGCGTATTGACTACATTCATATGGACGCACACATTTACTGAGCTAACTCCGTGTTTACAGAAAAAGTTTCTGAAATTATAAGCGTTTTGTCTTCGTGTGGATATAGCCTTAGACTCCTACACTGAAAAAATATTGCAATGAAAATAATAGCGCATTTTGCTTTGTCCCATTGGCAAATCTTTTTTTAAAGGCAGTCCAAAATGTGCTAAAATGTGTTCAAATTTCAGCAATTTTTTGTAATTTTTTATCACTTTTTGCAGTGTACCGCCACTGTAATCCATCTCACTAAGCTGTACTTACTGCAGTTTCTAAAAAAAAAAATTTTTTTCTTAAATGGTACCTAATTTATCCAAAATGGTGGTTTTAAACAATGTCCCGCAAGTCCTTGCGGTCATCGGTTTTGGGTTATAAGCGAAAAGACAAGATGCTAAAATGAGTTCACTTAGCTCCAAAGCCCTGTTTCCACTAGCCCTACTTGGCCCCGCTCTACTCTACTCGGCTCTTCTCTACCCTGTGTAATCGGTAGCAGGGCCTTTTTCAGTACCTGTGCTTGGCCCTGGTTCTATCCTGGCCGAGAGTGCTGTTGGAAGCCATGGAACTAGGATACAGGTGTTAAAGTATAATCGAAACACAACCAGGTAGAGTAGAGCCGAGTAGGGCCAAATAGGGCTGGTGGGAACGTCGCAGGGGAGCTTACAGTAGATCCGCCGCTCCTCCACATCAAGACAAACCAGCTGGGATGCCTCCTGAGCACCTATAGTTTGGGATTAGACCCATGGAAGACTAGAGGAATGAGCTATAAAATGTTTGCGAATAGAGCAAAGTCTGGGTCTCTGGTCTTACTGCTGCCCGTGTGACGCAGCCCCAGATAAAGCGGAAGAAAACACACAATCATATTTCTAAGAGTGGCTTAAACAACAGCATTGCGATCAGTTATATGTCAAAATTGGGAACTCAATGCCAATCCATTCAAGTGGGAAAAGTAGTTTTTTTCCCGCAAGTGTTGAATCAAAGGGTACATATAAAAACAGCTGAAGAAGGTGAAGAAGAGAAAAATAAATCTGTGGAAGGGAGACTGCGTTTGCGATTAAAAAAGTTTAGTTTTCTCTTGAGTTAAAATGCTTTTTGTGGTTATTTTGAAAGACAAGTTAGATTTTTCCATCGTAATATTGTGTGTCCATTGTTTGCAGGTTCGGGGAGCAATGGTCTAGTCCTTTTTTCAAGTTACTTCTGACTTTCCTCTCTTCCTTTCTTTTATTGCTTTTGGCTAATTTTACCGTAAAGACAAATCTGACCTGTCTTTCAAAAGAACCACAAAGAAGCAAAGACTGCATTTACACCATGTATGTATCGCTGGATGGAGTCATAACACAGCCGTGAGGATTGGAAGACAGATCCCAATGTACGTCCAATAATAATCTCTATTTACATTAAACTATGAGTCACAGTTGCAATTCGTCCATAAGCAGCGCCGTTGCTCCGGCTGTGTCTGAAGGTCCATGGTGTTCCCAACCCTCGTTTATCGCTGTTGGTTCCCTATGTGCGTGAAAAGTCTGCAAAGGTCCACTAAAAATAGATTTCTGAAATATACTTTTCAATTCAAATCAGATGGATATTCAACATGAGTGAAAACGTAATAGGTTTAGGCTAAATGGATCTCACATAATAATAAACAAAAAAATCGGACAAGATTTTTAAGCTTTTTGCTCTGGTTGCTAATGTATGTGTGATGGTTTGTTTTGAGAATGACTTGTTTACAGGGCGTTAGCCAGTATTAGCCAGTGTTTGCCAGTTTTATTCAGTGTTTGCGGACGTTAGCCAGTTTTAGCCAGTGTTAGCCAGTTTTAATCCGTGTTAGCGAGCATTAGCCAGTTATAGACAGTGTTTGCCAAAGTTTGCCTGTTTTAGCCAGCTTTAGGCAGTGTTAGCCAGTTTTATTCAGTGTTAGCCAGTTTTAGCCAGTTTTAGCCAGTGTTATCCAGCATTAGCCAGTGTTAGCTTGTCATCGTGACTACCGACCACTCCTTTGGTTCTGGAGTAGTGTATACAAGAAGACAAAGTAGGTCGTTTATTGAATTTTTTACTGATTTTGTGTCTTCTTTTGGGTATACTCCCTACCTCTACCACTTGTGCAAAGCATTATGGGAGAAATGGCATCTAGTTTGATTAAGTTAGATTGAGTTGGATTGAGTTAAATTGAGTTAGATTGAGTTGGATCAGTTGGAGCTCCATAAGTTGAGAATAGCACGACATTCAGACACAGCCGTCGCTAACAGGAAGTCGTCACAGCACTTGAAACCGCCAAGGAGCCTGGTCTTTGTAGTCCAAACATTCGGGGGCGTTGAAATTGAGCTTCCATGCTTGCTCCTTGTAGTCCAAACAGTCCGTGGAGCTGTAGTACGGCTGGTGATGCGCCGCGGCTGCGTGCGGGTGATGGTGGGCGTGCGGATGCCCCGTTTGTCCCACGTGGTGATGATGCCCCGCCATCCCGCCGTTAGCCATGTGGTGGTGAGAATGCATGGGCAGATACGAGCCGCAATCTCCGAAATAGGACCCTGAGCTAGCCGTGGGGTACCCCTGGTGGCTGTAGGCTGCTACCGTTTGACCGTAAGCAACCGGATAGGACGCGGCCGTGGTGCTAGCCCCAGATCGCTGCATGCAAGACGCGCTGCTGTTAGCGACCGGGTCTGGGGCTGCTACCGGGGCTAGCGCTGGAGAAATGGGCGCGGGACTCCAAATGGAAGAGACGGGAGCGGTGACGGAGGTAGCAGAGTTCATCAGACCCGGAGGACAAGGCAGAGGTGGGGTGGAGGAGGAGGTGTTGGAGGAGGGCGGGGTAAAATGGCCGCCGCTCTCTGAGCCGCTGCTGTCGCGGATGGGAGAGGGTTTCTTCTTCAGCGGTTTGACCTTGGAGGTGGTGTTGGCGTTTGCCGCGCTGGTGGAGTTGGCGTTGCTCGTGCTCTGCTGCTGCTGGCGGCACTTTGCGCGTCTGTTTTTGAACCAAACCTGGAGAAAAATAAAGAAGCAAATGTAAGAAATTGTTCTAAACCGTAAAAAACCGTGACTTTGGTGTTGCGTTTGCCGGATGTTCCCAAAGTCTAGAACACAAGTGACCTTCTTAAAGATCAAATCAATGTCTTTGGAGCGCTAACCATTCACAATTTAATTTGATAATAGATTGATTATCTTATCTTAAACATAGAAACAGTAAAGGCCACAAGTTATGAAGACCAATAAGGTACATGAGCTGAGGACTGACGCTTCCAAAACTAAAAGCCATCAAATTGACTGCTTTGGGAGTTCTCGTGTTAATTACTTCTGTATTATGGTTACACTGACCACACCTTGGTAAAAAGACTAGGTCGACAGGTGGGTTAAAGGCCGAGTCAATCTGGCAACTGTTTTAAATTGGGTTGCCTCTACTCAATTCAGTATATTCTTGTATCGCCCTAAATCAGCAGTTATCTCGGAGGACTTTACAAGCTGTCGATTTACCGACACAGATCAGAGAATCAAACAGGTCAACCACAGGAAATGCATTTATTAAAAAAACACAAAAGTGATGAAAATAAGTCAAAAATTGCTCAAATTTGGCAAAAGGTATCTTAATTTTAACACATTCCGACTGCCCTAAAACAAGATTTGCCAATGGGACAAAGAAAAATGATCTTGGTTAAAAAATATACATCCAATTTTGTTTTCGGTCAGAATGAACTCAGATTAAGATAAAAACCACTTGATAAAAGCATTTCTTTTCCCATATTTTATTGCCATTTGCAGTGATTGGTCCATAAGGGGCAGAGATTAAAGTCCATGTATGTAGATTGGTTGTCGTTGAGTGTGGACTGGTACCTGGACTCTGGACTCGGGCAGGTTGATCTTCAGGGCCACCTCTTCTCTCATGAAGATGTCGGGGTATCGGGTCTTGGCGAACAGCGACTCCAGGATGTCCAGCTGAGTGCGGGTGAAGGTGGTGCGCTCGCGACGCTGCTTACGAGGGTTTGCTGCGAGACAAAAGTCATGACGAAGTTTTAAAGAGTGGAAACATGCGTCAAAGGGATGTTGATGCTGCTAATTTTACACAAGAAAGTCAGATACTGTTCAATTAAGTTATATAATTGTGGTTTAGCATGATACATTCTGACTGTCTTTGTTTTTATGACTTCTAAATATTGAGTTTTGTTGATGATATTTTTTTTCATGTATTTTTTCTTTTTTCTTCTTCTGGTTTTTTTCATTCCGTGTTCAAATAAACTTTCATTAATTACTTCAAAACAATGGTACGGAAGCTTGTTAGGTTCACTTGTGAGTGTGTTTTTTTTCCGCTGGTATCATGTTATTTCATGATACCAGTTTATCATGAAATAACATGATAAATTGGTATCATGAAATAACATGATAGTTGTGTATCATGAAATAACATGATAGTTGTGTATCCTGAAATAACATCATGTTATTTCATGAAAGTATCATGAAATAACATGATACCAGCGGGAAAAAAAACACACTCACAAGTGAACCTAACAAGCTTCCGTACTACGGGACAAAGCCATTTCATAAAAACTATTTTTTTTCATTCCAAGGGAGAGACATTACTTGTATCTTTTTAAAACCTTTGCTTCTGCCTACCCTTTTTTTTTTAGTTTTGCCTCGTAAATATACAAATCTAGTATAACCTGTAACATTGGGCAAAATTGTTTTAAAAATTACAACAAAACTAAATACAATAGAATGGATGAATGAATAGATATTATTTATCCATTCCAATTTTCATTCTAATAAAATAACTACATTTGAGACATTTTTAACTTATTTTGAATCACTTCTTGCAGTGTAGTGTGTTGTGTGTGTGTTGTGTACGCACTTGGATATCCCACTGTGGGGTGCAGCAGGTCCACACTGCCCAGACCCAGTCCTCCCATCCCATAGGGGCTCTGCTTCAGGTAGGACATCATGGTGCCAGGGGTCGGCCGCAGAGGAGGACAGCCGGCGGACTCCTGAGACACACAGGGACACACTTAGTCTTGATGATTCGCACCCGGAAGTAGAAAATCCTCCTAAATACCTTTAAGACAGAGACGCTACCGTACTGTATAATGAGGCCTGTAGGAATGAGGCTGGGTGTACGTCAAAAATAAAATTAGAGGCTCCAGTAACTACCAAAATACAGATGGAGGCCTCAAAATACATACAAATGAGGTTAGATGCCTCAGTACACATCCGAAAGAGAGTTATCGACCTCGAGATACGTGAAAATAGGGTTAGAAGCCCGAGTTTATGTCAAAAATAAGGTTAGTTGCCTCAGTCTAATTAATGAGGCTGCAGCACGCATCAAAAAGACGGTTTGAAGCCATTATGTAAAGAATAAGAATCTACAGAAATCATTGTCGCAGGTTCGAGGCCTGTTTTTCTCTTTTTGATGCACTGGGATTTTCTTTGAGTTTTATGTCTGGTCCGATTTACTGTTTTGTTTGGCATTTTGGACTTAGGACTAGTGGTAAAAATCAGTATTGCTTTTACACTGTTAAAAAATAGAGAAAATGTGCGGTGGTAAATGCTTGATTCATTGCGTGAATGCGTGCTTCTTTATCTTAATTCAAGCACATTTTGACCGTCTAAAAACAAGATTTGCCAATTGAACAAGCAAAAAAGTCAAAATTCAAGAAATGTCCTCCTTGGATGAGACATAAATTGCATCACCACTTGAATTTGGACTTAACCGGCTTGTTTCATTGGCACTTGTTTTTAGAAAGACCAAATATGCTCAAATGTAGATAAAAACTCTTGATTCAAGCATTTATTACCTTACATCTTGTCACTATTTGCAGTTTAATAGTACTTTATAAGGCTTACTGGCACCGTTGGGATATTCACAGTGAAATATGTTTTTGAGTATTGTCACCACTTCTAGACACCTTTAAAGTTGATTTTCACTGACAAAAAGATGTGGGAACTATGGAAAAAAATGGCTGTAAACTGACCTTTGATGCTGACCATAGTTACCAGGGAGGAAAAATATACTGCCCTCAAGTGGTAATAAACTACAAGCTCAAAGTCAAACAATTCAAAACCCTATTGCCCTATAACCCTAACCCTAAGTGAGAAATCTGTATTTATATACCGCCTTTCACAGACCAGAGTCACAAAGCGATTTACACTTGTGGCCATTTGTCTCTCACTCCACACAGAGATGGGAGCGGGGCCAGAACAGGAGGCACATGCCAGAACTATTGTGCATATTTTTAGTAGTAGGGGAAACCGGAGTACCCGGAGGAAACCGGAGTACCCGGAGGAAACCTACGCAGACGCGGGGAGAACATGCAAACTCCACTCAGAAAGGCCCTGTTCCAACCAGGAATCGAAACCCAGGACCTTCTTGCTGAGAGCCGAGAGTGCTAACCACTCAGCCACCGTGTCACCCAAACCCTAGGTAACCATAGGTATTCTGACAGAGCCTTAAAACAAGATTATCCAAAGGGACAAAGAAAAAATTAAATTAAATATAAAATTATACAAGAAATGTCTCCCTTGGAATGAGAAAATAAAGAAACAGTTCTTGAATTTAAGACTAAATGGCTTTGTCCCGTTGGAGAATCTTGTTTTAACATGAAAAATTCTAATGAAGCATTTAGCATTTTATTTTTGACTAGAGCAGAGAAAATGGTCCGAACCAAGAGGCTACTCCACCTAGTGACCCATCCTGCTCCACCCAGAGACTACTCCACCTCTGCTGCTGTGACCCGTCCTGCTCCACCCAGAGGCTACTCCACCTCTGCTGCTGTGACCTGTCCTGCTCCACCCAGAGGCTACTCCACCTCTGCTGCTGTGACCCGTCCTGCTCCACCCAGAGACTACTCCACCTCTGCTGCTGTGACCTGAAAGGCTGTTGCTGATTATTACTATTGTTAGCTTTTTAGAATGATCAATTTTATTTTTTATTTTTGCTGCTACTGGACACTTGTGTTTCTCTGACGGGGATCAATAAAGTATCTATCTAACTATCTATTTATCTATCTGTATCTATCTAACACAGTCAAAACCACTCAATTCCAGCCTTTCTTACCTCCTATTCTATCATTTTTTGCAGTGCAGGCTCTGGTCCGGGTGTGTGTGTGTGTGTGTGTGTGTGTGTGTGTGTGTGTGTGTGTGTGTGTGTGTGTGTGTGTGTGTGTGTGTCTGGGGGGTGTCCTTGTCGCGGGGTTAAAAGCAGCATCAACACAATTTAATTAAAGTTGACAGCAGCGTGAATGGGATCACACGGTTTTCAATTAACCGTATTTGCTCGCCACATTTCACCGTTTGTTTGTGTGATGATGTGATCAACGCGGCGACAATTAGTCCAATCTCCTTCTGTGATCTCAGAAGGATGTGTTTAGGATTACTGTGGCTTGAGGAAATATGGACAATGGTAGAGTATGAGGTGATAAATGCTTAAATATGTGGTTTTTGTCTTAATTTGAGTTCATTGTGACGAGATTCTCCAACGAGACAACGTCATTTAGTCTCATTTCAAAATCATTTTGCTTTGACCCATTGGTAAATCTTGTTTTAAACAGAGAGACCAGAGTGAGACTGGAGAGAGATAGAGCAGAGAGAGACCAGAGAGGGACCAGAGAGAGACTAAAGAGTGACCAGAGTGAGACCAGAGAGAGACCAGAGAGAAACCAGAGAGAGATCAGAGTGAGAGCAGAGAGAGACCAGAGAGAGACCAGAGAGGGACCAGAGAGAGACCAGAGAGAGACCAGAGAGAGACCAGAGAGGGACCAGAGAGAGACTGGAGAGAGATAGAGCAGAGAGAGACCAGAGAGAGACTAGAGAGGGACCAGAGAGAGACTAAAGAGTGACCAGAGTGAGACCAGAGTCAGACCAGAGAGAAACCAGAGAGAGATCAGAGTGAGACCAGAGAGAAACCAGAGAGAGATCAGAGTGAGAGCAGAGAGAGACCAGAGAGGGACCAGAGTGAGACTGGAGAGAGACCAGAGTGAGACTAGAGAGATACCAGAGAGAGACTAGAGAGAGACCAGAGAGAGATCAGAGTGAGAGCAGAGTGAGATCAGAGAGAGATCAGAGAGAGACCAGAGAGAGACCAGAGAGAGACCAGAGAGGGACCAGAGAGAGACTAAAGAGAGACCAGAGTGAGACCAGAGTGAGACCAGAGAGGGACCAGAGTGAGAGCAGAGTGAGAGCAGAGTGAGAGCAGAAAGAGACCAGAGAGAGACCAGAGAGGGACCAGAGAGAGACTAAAGACAGACCAGAGTGAGACCAGAGTAAGACCAGAGTGAGGCCAGAGAGGGACCAGAGTGAGAGCAGAAAGAGACCAGAGAGAAATCTTGTTTGAACGCAGTCATAATGTGCTCAAATTAATACACATTTTTGCCAAATTTGAGCAATTTTTGACTTGTTTTTCTTTACTTTTTGCAGTGTTTGAGCTAATAAACATATAGAAATATTCCAAAAAGGTTTTGAAATATAACTGTAACTATTTTGTTTCTTTGTGTCATTACAGTGAGATTATAACAAAGCATTGACTCTACTACAAAAACATTTAAAGTCATTCACTTTTGAAAAACTGCAAAAAGTGAAAAATGTCTTGAATTTGGCCAAATCTATCTTAATTTAAGCACATAAATACATAAAAACCCGCGATTCAAGCATTTATTACTCCATCTTTTATCTTGTTTTTGCAGTGCAGACAAGTAACGTTAGAAAAATATCCAAAAAACCATAATTTTCTTTTTACCGAGTAGTTTTTAGTGCCATGTGAATAAACGTTTCTCTCCTTCTTGATCAAATCCTTTCAAATGTCAGAAAATAACAAAAATGTGTAAAATAGTAGCCAGAAAAATGCAACTTCTTGACATATTTTTCAGTTTTTGATTTGATTTTTTTCCATAATCTTAATAATTCTTGTTCTTTTCCCTTAAAAGTCTTCCTCATCATTTCCTCGCGTGGACAAGACTGGACTGACTCGACCGACCTGATCTAAAGCAGGGACTCTCTCTCTCTCTCTGGGCGGCACGGCGGCTGAGTGGTTAGCTGCGTTTGAATCCTGGTCAGAGTTTGCATGTTCTCCCCGTGTCTGCGTTGGTTTCCTCCGGGTGCTCCTGTTTTAGCGTCATTAAACACGTAAAAATGTACAATAGGCCAAACTTCTGTGTTATGTTTTGTTGTTTTTGTTGATATATTACTTTGTTTAACTTGTCTTTTAAAAGAAACACAAAAAGATACTTTGCCTTTAGACAAAATGAACACGTTTTGAATTATTTTGTTTTTTTTGTTTTTTGTTTGTTTAGATGGAAATTAGCTTTTGACTCAAATCTGATGCATTCATGTTTATAATATATATACAATCAAATTAGCAGCAATGAAGGATGTGGGTCAAATGCAGAGAAAACAACTTACTAGCAATAACCACACTACAAAAAATTAAAAATGAGGTAATAAATGCTTGAATTGAGTGGTTTTAATCATAATTTGAGCACATTCTGACTGTGTTGAAACTAGATTAGACTAGAAATCCATTTAGTCTTATTTCAAGATAATTTTGCTGTGTCTCATCTTGTTTTAAATCAGTCAGAATGTGGTCAAAACAACAAGAGACATTTATTTGTATTTTTCATCACTTTTTGCAGTGTACGTCATTGATAAATTACTAATATTCTCCTGAAACGATTACAAAATGGCTATTTAGTATTTGAAATGCAGCAATTTACACACCCACACACACACACACACACACACACACACACACAGGTACACAAACACAGACCAAACACTCTCTGACCCTACACCTCTCTCCAAACACTTCCTTGTTTACTCCATGTTTCCGACACAACCTCTCACACTGAGACAATAATCCCAAAGTATTTCCAAATCCAGGCACATACTGTGCATAAATATAATCTCTGGCTTCCTCTAAAACGTCTTTAACTTGAACTAAACTCGGGACAAAAGC